GGCCAACGCGCAGGATGGCCGCATAAAACATCATGGCCGGTGATTGATGCACGTCGTATCTCGCCACAGCTTAATGAAGGGATCGCTTGATGTTGCCTTTGAATAGGGCCCTGCGACTCCCATTCGGCGGCTTCTGCAAATGGCATACCTACCCACCACACGTTCGTCTGCTGGGTTATAGCAGACCAAAAGTGTATTGGCTCAAGCTCAGATAGCTGCCAATATAGCCCAGAACTCGGCTGCCTGTCGGCTGTGCTGCAGACCCATTGCATCTTGCGGATTTGACGCAAAAAGACGGACATCATAGAAGCATATCACTACAGCAAAGAATAACGGTAAAGGTTATGCCATGACTAGGTAAGTTCCATGTTCAGTGCGAAATTAATTGCTTCTTCTACGTACTTAATATTTCTTGTTTCGTATAACTACAGTAGCCATACGTGTGCCTTTCACTTGCCAGACACCCTTTGGCACGAAAGCGTCTTTTCACTTTCCACAAAAGTTGCTGCAGGCATGATAGGCAAGCACCCTTATGCCAAAGTAAACTAGGGTGAGACGAATTGCCAATTTACGGTACGCACTAAGCAAGCATGATCCAGCATCTTAGCTGATGAATGAAAAAAGTATGATGACGGTGGACGACACTGGCTGCTACCGGGGGTACATGAGTCAGACGAGCACAGTCTTGGCAACCGGGCCGACCCGATGGTGCATCGGATATGACTTAGCAGTCGCTTACGACACTAGAACATAACTTTTCAGCTCAAACAATAATGCGCAATAGATGAATGAAGGTTTACGATATAAACGGCAAGAACGCTTCCGCCTCGCAACTTCAGGTCAGTCATCGTTTCTCACCAAATATCGGTCAGGATTGTGGCCGCACTGTCACATACGCAAGCAGAGGCTGGTGAGCGCCATATTCCTTATAAGGCTCTAGCTTTTCTAAAGACTGCAGCAAGATTTCCGCACTTTGAACATCTCTGCCCTAAAACAAGCTCTTAGGGCAGGTGTATTCCTGTATTACCCCAGGGGATGCGCCACCCACTACGCTCATCCAATTCATCCCGTGAATTAATACGTGCGCGCATACTTCAGGGTAGACAGGAAAAATACGTAAATCGAGAACACGATGGCGTTATACAGCATTCGTGACCCTGCGGCTCGCTAAGCTGGGCTTTCACTAAAATACTTGCTTTGTGCCCCCCCTGCATCACCTTCAACGCAAAATACTTAATACGATGCTGGCTTATAGTTTCATAGGCCTGGATTGAGCGTATGTGTGTTTGTGAGCACTCTACTTTTGCTAACTTTCGGTTTTAGCTTAAAGGGGTGAAGCGGATGGGTTCAGCCCATCTCCAAGGCTGGTGGGTGTGTGGGGTGGGTGGGCTCTGCCCACCTCCAAGACTGGTGGGTGTGTGGGATGGGTGGGCTCGGCCCATCTCCAAGGCTGGTGGGTGTGTGAGGCGGGTGGGCTCAGCCCATCTCCAAGGCTGGTGGGTGTGTGGGGCCGGTGGGCTCAGACGTGTGTTGATGTCAGATGATGGTTGATGTGTGCGTGGGGTGGGTGGGCTCAGCCCATCTCCAAGGCTGGTGTGTGAAAGTGTGGTGGATGGGTTTGGAAAACGTTGGTGAGAACGAGCTCAAGCTGGTGTATCCGAAGTCAACATCGAGCCAACCCTCATCTCGTCAAGTTCACCTCCTGCCAGTTTCAGTCATAACGAGCATGAAGCAAATGAGTGTTGATCAGGCTGTTTATGCGCTGTTTATGAATCTGATCAGACAAACTAATTCATTTAACCGTCATTTGCAGTAGCTCGATTTCCTGTTTTGATCGCGTTAAACACAACTAATCCGTAACGATCGCCTCCACACCACAAAGTCCTTGCTGGAATATGCAAATGATGGGCCATTGAAGCTCTAACGTGGCCATCGGTCTGGATATTCCACCACTTAGTGAGCGTTAGGTCCGAACCAGGGCGGGAACCACTTTCATTCCGGCTGTCTGGTCTTCTGTATCATGCTGCTCAAGCGCTAAAATCTTGGGGAGCTACAGATAAGATGCAAAGTTAAGATAAATATGAATGCGTAGGGAAAAGAACTTAGGAAGCGTTGTATTTGTGATTTGTGCCTTTATACAGCATACAGTCTCTACCACTCACACAGCATTGAAACATGCTATTTTGTTCAAATATTTGGTCTGCGTTGAAAAGGCTGTGCAAAAGGCAAACGATCCGCCTCAATAGAAAGACATTTAAACTACGCAATGCACGCTCTCCTTTCAGTTGTTGTCCATGTCAGGCTTAACCGCAGTAAGTAGCTCGCAGTCAGAATGACGCTATGGTAAGCAGCAGTGATGTACTGCTTCTGGCGCCAGTAGGCACGAATTACCCGCGCGACTTGGAGATTCATTCAGTTATCGTATATTGATCTGGTGTCCAGCCACAGACGGTATTCCGTTTATATTTCCTTCGGTCTAGAAACTGTCATGACGACGACGGCATGCGCAGGGTTGTGGTCGCACAGAAACTCCAGACCGCTGGCATGACGTGTGTGGTCCAAGGCACTCTGTCATTAACGCCGGGCACTGTTTAAGTCGCTGCTCGAAGCTTACGCTTCGTCACAGGGTACGCAAGGGTTAATACCCCAAACTTGGCAGAATTTTACGTTACGCCAATTGCGCACAGAAAAGCACATCACAGGAAATCGATGCCTCTTGAACCTTTGATTCGTGGAAGAGCCTCTGGCTTGGGTTTAAAGTTATGTTACACTACAATGGCTTTACTATCTGTAAAAACCTTGGCACGTACTTCCATCGCCTTCTACTCAGGAAGCCCTCCAGCACTTGGTTCTCCAAAACGTTCACATGGTTCTCGTCCTGCCATTTCTGGTTGCCCTTACTGGTATTGCGCCCTCCCGCAGCATTGTTACTGGCAATGCCCCACGTTTGAAGGTGTTTAAGGAAACATGGGATATGTTGGAATCAGCTCGGCTATCACAATTGGCATCTTTTAAGTGAAAAATATGGTCTAGACAACACAATTTCTGTATTGGGCAAATATCCTCCTCAATGCGTCATCGTTTGATTGCGTCATGGAAAGAGTGTAGGGGGTCGAGGTACTGCCAAACTAGCCGTGCGAAACTGACATCCTAGCACTCACTTGTACTTCACTTGCCGGGAGATGGAAGGGGCGGTGCTGGATGTGTTTGCTAAGCGAAATATCGTTCTGTGCTCGCGTTTTGGCCCTTTCTCGTGGTGTTCTTAAATATATATCCGCAAGTTTCCTGTGTTCGCTTGCATTCGTGTACGTGGACATGATGCTTTTCTTATGTTATTCTTTTACAAGTCTTATTTCCGTAATAACCAGCAATCATATCCAACTTCGTGTATCATGTAGCACAAAACTCAACATTACTTGATGACCAATTGACATCCACTATATTTAGAAGGCGTGCTCACGGACATCAGATGTGAATAACTTTATGATAGCATTCTATTTCGACTTGAAAATCGCATGGTCAATGAGATGGCAGGATTTGAATGACGGCGTTTCTGTTCAAAACCCCACAAATATGAATCACTTCCTTTAAGAGCTTATTAAGCCCTGTGAATGTAAAATTGCTGAACTGAGCTATAACTCGCGTCTGGGTGTCCCTTGACCGTCGACGGCAATAACGCCCATTCGCACGTGAATCCACACACATCCTCACTCCATTGGTGTGCTCCGCTAATTATTTCTGTCAATGGAAGGGAATTTCCTTTTTGAGCCTAACTGTGTCTGTGTCGTTTGTCGCCTGCCTTTTAGGTCAGCCTCCAAGTGTTGAGTTACGCAGGCTGGCTTCGGGCAGCAAGGATGGTTGGCGCAAACACAGCTGATGCTATACCCTCGCTTTGTCTCCATTTCTTGTGTTTTCAGTTTCTGAGTATTGAAATACAACTTCATTTACATCTTAACACGCGCCCGGGTGGCTGGCTAGACACCCTTTGGTCGGGTGGGGGTGGGGGTCATTTTAAAGCCCCTAAGATCTCGGGAACTAAGAAAGCTAGAGACACCAAATTTACAGGATGTGTTGACCTGTACGTGAACTCACTTACGTCAACGTTTCAGGTGCCTAGATTATGACTTTTGGGTCAAAGAGGTCAAACAAGGTCAAGTTCCCGGTTGGTCTCTTTAGTGCCCCCAGAACTTAGATGACCATTTCTTAGCAAAAGGTCACATGCTCATTTAAAGTAAGTGACCTTGTTTGACCTTTTGAAGGTCAAGCTGACCAAAATCGTACAAGATTGCTTTGAGTTTTGCATTTGACTAAGCGACAAAGATTACGGTAGGCAGAATGCTCCTAAAAAAATGCTGACCTGGGTCATTTTGTGTCAGTGATCTATTCTGATTTCTAAGAAGTCCATGAAAGATGTAAAATTTGGTTTCTGCTATCAATAGATTTGAAATGAGCACCAGAGACTATCCCATACAGCAATCCCTAGAGTAGCAAAACAGATTGGTTTTGACCTTGGCGTGACCTTCGTACCTGACCTTTGCTCATTCAACTGTTGCGTTGCCTAAGAAAGCACCTCAGAGATATATGGCTGCGTGTAACACTCCGTTGTTGGATCAGTTTGAAGGATTCCCTAAAAGTTGCCTTCGCTGAAACCATGGCCTGACTTTGACCTACCATAGGTCAGCGACCTTACATGGTACATCTAAATTTTTTATACCGAACGATCCGCTATTCAATTTTCTATACAGTAAGGTTTGGCGCGGCTACGCCGCGCCGTTCAGAAACCATTCTGGAAAAACCTTCGGGAGGGGTCAATTTGACCCTCCACCCGAACGCGTGTTAATGCTGATCTGGCGCTTGAAAGGAATTCAAAGAATCTTGCTTTTCATCTCATACGCAGAAAAAGTGACCACCTGGTGTCCCTCGTGTGCAGAAAAAGTGACCACTAAATATAACCTAAAAATGTCTCATTGAAATTCTGACGGCATCTGTTTTGGTTTCAGCAAAACTTGACGCGGTGAAGACATACATGCGAATGCGAAGAGTGCCAAGTCATCTGCAAAACAAGGTGATCAAGTGGTTCGACTATCTCTGGCTTACTCAGAAGAGCTCGGACGAAGAAAAGTCCGTCAGCTGTTTACCAGGTAAGGTGCCAAAAGCTGACACACAGCGAGATCGAAACGACATTTGACATTCGTTTGCACGACTTAACCGCGAAAGCACGGCTGTTACAAATTGTTTGACGGCATTAAGACAAAACACCCAGCTGGGCAGCAGTCACGGACGTTGGCACATAATGCTGCAAGTCAATACCGTGGCACACGTGTTCCATCACATAACTCACACGAGCAAAATATGATCTACACCTCGGCGCCTATACGCTCAGCATTCGTTTTTCCAGTCTGGTTTAAAGGCATTGCAGTAGCATGCCATGATAATCAGGTGTCATTTGGCAGCTTCAGGTGCTCTGCGGCGCAGCCTCCGAGTAGCTGCGCTCGCTCTGACTCTGAGCCGCTGCGGTGAACCGTGGGAGCTTGTCTTGTGCTGATAGGAGACGACAGAAGCGGGCGTCCGCGCTCGTTCTGGCTCCAGGCTGTTGCAATGGGCCGTGGAGCTCTCGTAAATAGAAATGCAGTAGCGAATTGTGGACAAAAAAGGACTTCGATGCCTCCTGTAAAAAGCTAGAAGCATCGCTGTATAAATTCTATAACCCGGTCAGTGCATGAATCGACAATCAAGCGCCTATCCAGAACTAGTCCCAGGTTTGTATCAGTGCTACTCTCAGTGGAAACAGACGAGCCAAATGTGATGTTGACCTCGGGGAATCCAGTCAGCATGCTTGTTGAACTAAAGGCCATTAATTGGGTTGTATCGGTGTTAATTTCCTAGAGTGGAAAGACAACCAGCCCGGGAGTCTAGCCAATGCCTTCCCATCCTGGTGATGAGAGGGCGGACGTGTTACGCATCGCAGTCACGCAGTGCAGTCACACGTCAAGGCAGACGTCGTGCAGTCACAAGAGCACGGAGATATACCTCATCGAAAAAAGCAGGGGGGAACGGCCCATGGCCGCACAATGTGCCCTGGTAGACTCCAGCAGTGTGCGGAACGGAGCATGAGAGCGAGATTTCCGTGGCAGTCCCGATGCCGCACCTGGTGTGTGTGTGACCTCCAGATGACTGTTGAACCAACTGGTGTCAGTGCCTGTCCCACGTTGCTAATTGGCGTCGTAAATGCGAAAGCTTTCGTTCATCTCTCCAACAATAGCATGTGAATCCAAATTGCTAGGAAAGAACGGGCTGCTGTTCCAATTTGGCCCACTTTACTCTCCAATGTGGGACTACAGCCCCTCATCCCAACTGAATGCGAGCCGCTGTCACTTGAGCTTTACGATACACTCAGCTGCTGAGACCTTGTGGCGTCGACGGCCTCTCACCCTGGCAGGAAGGTCATTGAATATCGCGGGGGATCGAACTGCACGCCTCTGGTTTCCTTGCCGGGCAGCTTAGTCACTGCGCTACTGCAACCCCCTACATATCTATGTTTATTCATTTAAACATTGTTGAAATATCACGTTCAGACTAATCGAAGTGCACTGATATCTCTGGCAGCTATGTACTAACGCGAGATAAGTTGGGAGGAGCCCGATCATATATGCAAATCTCACAGCGTGTTATCGTTGATAAGGCAGAGATAATTCGGATCTATTTATAAACCTGAGATTAGAATGAAGTGTTTTAGCTTCAGCCTTGTAATCAAGCTAAAGATTGCGTTCTAATTCTGTCCCAGGCTGAACAGCGTGACCACTCATTTCCGTACCACCACAGCGGTGTTACGCCAGTTTGACAATATAGTGGTTAGTGACGCCCACAGAACGCACACCTGCATTTAGAATCACTGGGGAACGCAAAGTCGATGCCATCGATTGCAGTGTGTGACGAGTTATGAGTGTTAGGTGACCACTGAGCGAGACTCGGCTTCCGAACGGACTTCTGCTGGCGCATGCGCGGTGACGTACCACCTGTTCCTCACAGATAAGCTAAAAGCGGAGATAGCCATCCACGTGCATCTGGACACCCTGAAGAGAGTGGAGATATTCCAGAACACCGAGGCGGGATTCCTTTGCGAGCTGGTGCTCCGTCTCCGACCGGTTCTCTTCTCTCCTGGCGACTATATATGCAGGAAAGGTAAGGGACTGAAATGCGCGCTCGTGGGGTGCCACCTGCCGTATTTCTATCAGTCTGGCCGTGGGAACACAACCAAGGAGGGATTCGTTGTACGGTCGTTGTACGTACATCGTATATGACCGTGTAGTGCTGCGAAGCGCTCTGGTTATTTAAGAGTGGCACAGCGCCAAGGGGTTATGTAAAGCGTGGTTAGAAAAGGTGTGTTTGCGGTCCGCATGGTTAGCGGTGGAATTAATCAAAGTGATATCTGCTGCATGAAGCGCCCATCAGCTTCAGTGGAGTGGTTTCGTGTTGTTATTGGAACAAATGATCCCATATAGCAGCGATGTGATGCATAAACCATAATACATAAAATAAGCAACAGAAGCGATGAAATAGATAAATACAGAACTAAAAGCAGAGAGAATAAGCCAGGCCCGACGAGCATGGCAAACGCCCGACAAGTCCGGCCAACTTAGCCGTCCCGTTGGCGCGGTGGCCCGGTTTTGACACGCAGCGCGAGTCAGACCCGGTCTGGTCAAGGCATATCATGACGGGGGTCGTTCCCCACTAACTACTTCGTCGCCTTTCCTTGACTGAGAAGGTTTAAGGTTAATTGTCGTCAATAATGTCATGCCTTTTCAATGCAACACACAAATGAAGTCGCCGGTACCATTTGGTCATAACCAAGCTGGAACAATGGTATGCAATAGTTTGGACGTTTTGGGTGACAATGTCAGTGCTTACGCAATACACATGCTAAACGAGAACATTTATTGGATTGTCAGGAGACGACACCTTGCATAAACCAAAATGTATGGGAAAGAGGGACTTGCTTGAAGTTCAAATCATCGCTCAGGGTCGCATCGACTTGTCTGCCCTTTGGTGTCATCCTTTGGTGTTATGCAATCTTGCGGCCAGATATGCCCTAGATCTTTTCCCATTGGACTTGAAATAACAGCACATCATCATGTGCAGGGCCTCACGCTCAGAAAATTGCTGGCAAACCTTACTGAAGCATGACACTGCGAACGCCACAAGATCTCCACATCACGGCGTCAATCCTTGCATGATGTGCTGACATCGTGGGAGCTCATCTTAGAAAGGAGATGTTATCTCCTCTGTGATGAGCTGATCGTCTGTAGCTATCAGCACCGAATGAAGTGCTGTCCCTGGCATTGTTGGATGCATTAAGGTCTCAAGTGGGGCCGTACCTTGCAAGTGGAGACACATGTGCTCCCGCTCACCGGGAGCACATGTGTATCCCGCTCACCGAACACGGGCGTTGGCGAGATTAGAGCTGGGTCGGTTCACAGAAGATTTTCACCGAATACAGGTCTCCCATGTAGTCACATCCCAACAACACTGACCGAGCACGACTGCTAAACTGAGCGCACACCAAGCCGCTGTTGTTCTGTCGTGTGGCTGAGATGTGCGACGAATGGTTCGGCATTATTATGATGTTTTCCACTACCTTCTGAAACTCTGACTTTTTGCAGAGCAGCGCACTTTTCACTTCGAATTCATTCAAGTGTGTCTTCAGCTGCTTTATTCTGTACTCATGTGGCGGGAAGTTATGCAAATGGAGGCAGCCGGCCGATGTAGCATAGCTCATAAAACACTTCCCGGCAATAGTTCATTAAGGGCGTGTGTCTTCTCGCCTCTCTTGCCTCTGAAGTCCTTTTACGTACGAGCAGAGTAAAATCACGAAGCGACGGAAGGAGAGAGGGGCGAGGAGAGAAAAAGAGAAGGACGGAATGAGACGAGAGTGGAAGAGGAAATGTATATTATTGGTGTTTAAGGGTGTGCCGACTGCCCAGGTTATTTTGGGCAGAGAGAGAGAGAGAGAGAGAGAGAGAGAGAGAGAGAGAGAGAGGGAGAGGAAGAGAGAGAGAGAGAGAGAGAGAGAGAGAGAGAGAGAGAGAGAGAGAGAGAGGAGAGAGAGAGAGAGAAGAGGAGAGAGAGAGAGAGAGAGAGAGAGAGAGAGAGAGAGAGAGAGAGAGAGAGAGAGAGAGAGAGAGAGATCATGTAACAACAATGACCAGGCGACGGGGAGCCAGCCTGAGGCAAGACACATGGTCTTTGGGGCTCAGATCTCAGCTGTGGTTTGTACCAGTTGAATCATTTGATTCGACGATCTCACCTGGGTGGTGTGAACACAATCACCAGCGAGCACCTGCCGCCAGCCAAAGCTGACCTGAGAACGAGTACCGCCACTGGTCACGGCCGGTGCGCAGGTGGAGAACAACGGCAGACGTCGGCTGGCCCCAAGAGGCGGGCCAATGTGACGTGACCTGTATATATATATATATTTCTCGCTCTCACTCTCTCTCTCTCACACACACTCTCTCTCTCTCTCTCTCTCTCTCTCTCTCTCTCTCTCTCTCTCTCTCTCTCTCTCTCTCTCTCTCTCTCTCTCTCTCTCTCTCTCTCTCTCTCTCTCTCTCTCTCTTTCTCTTCTAACCCGGTTCCGCTCGGAGTTTTCCGGCATCCGCGAGCTTCTGGGTAAGTCATCTAGGCGCTGCTACCACAGGGTCCAATTCATCGTCGGATGGGAAAACTGAAAACGGCTATCGCTGACGATCAGCTAACTATTCAATGTCACCCCAGAAACTTGTCAGCCTGCCGTCATAAGGATAAACAGAAGGAAGCCTTCCGCCATAACAAACGATGACAATGACGTTACGGATGACGTAAAATAGCTATTTCCCACACCTTTTGGTCGCTCCGTTGCTCACGGTAATCGTTCTCTGATTTTACAGCTGCCAGTATGTGGATGGGCGTCATCTTACATGTCAGAGCCGTGCCATAGTGCTACATAAAACCGAAGCTCAATTCAGATTAGGCCAAGCAAAATCATGTTCATGTCTGCCCACGGGTAATTAATTGCCTGCATTTTCCGAGTAACTTACCCAGTGACCTTTGGTGATCTAGTTAGTACTTATTGGTTTGAAAATTAATATTTCAGGTTGTTCCGTTAGTTTATCGGGGATTTACCACATATGGTCGCATAAATAACTTTTGTTCCACTTCATAAGATGACACCAGAATCACTCATGAGCTTTGCGGGTGACCTGACGTGAAATCGGGTAGAGTAAATTACCATGACTTGCGCGCCAATCCATTTAAAGGACTATATCAGGGCATTCAGAACAAAAAGCTTAAACTCAAGTTCCTACGTTAGAACTCTAAATAGTTGTATCGTCGTATTTTTATTTACAGTCGCATTTATTGCAAGTATTTACTAATGTCATCACACCACATGACCTAACTTTGTAAGTAGCGGTTTGACCTGAATTTGCCAAAAGTGACCATCAGACAGGTAATGAAAACCTGTGTTAATCTTTCAGGAACGGTCTGGAAGCTATCCCAGACGCTCGGATAGAATTGACCTATTCGGAACGGTTCGGAAATTATTTCAGAAACTTAGTTGTACCCTGGTTAACGGTTGGAGCAATCACTAGCGACGGATAAATGTTACATGATAGGTGGTGATAGGTGCAGGCAAGCGCTCCATTCGTCTTCTTCGAAGGCTTTGCGGCCGGAAAGGCATATTTGAAACTGTGGCATGTAGCAGAGGAGGTAGGAGCAAGCGCGAGTGAAAATAGGTTTGAGCCGCAATCAGCTCAGGATTCCACGACCGAGCATTAGAAGGCACGCCGCCACGCATTGGATGAATTTAATAACTGAAAATCGGCGTACCTCCAGCTTGAATGTCAGCGGACTCTACGCGGCCAGTCAGCAGCAGCCTCACGAACGGAGAAAAAACAGCCAACAGACAGTCGAATGGCACACTGGCAACTAACTGGAGCAGCCCATAGCGGCGATGCGGTTATCAGCTGGCTTTTAGCCAGGTACCCGTCAAGATCTCAGCCGGAGAGTCTGCGAGTCTCTAGCAGAACGATCAGCAAACAGCCAGCCGGACCGTCAAAAAATATCCACCTGTACCGTCACAAATCTGCAGCCGGACACTCCACGAGCCCCCGGCTGCGGGCGGGGGCCGGTGGTCCGGCGTGACTTTTGGGCGGCGCTCGTGGCGTGGGCCGACCTCCGGCTGGGATGCGCCGGTCGCGCGCCGAGCCGTCCCATCGATCGACACCGGCCGGGGGGGGGGGGGGGGGGGGGGGGGGGGGGGGCGTCGTGCAACCCCCGCGGCCGGGGCGGCGCCAGCAGAGGTCAGCTGCCCGTGCCGGCCCTCTCCAGCACCGGTCGTGCCAGGTCACAACTGACGGAGGTCAGTCGGGGTCAGACGACGTCACAGGTGCCAGCTCGGCTCCCGTTTAAGGCCAGTCAAGGGCACTCGACTGCGGTCCTTAGTAGGACGGCCGTCCTGTTCTGGACTGGGGAATGTTGAGCTGGTTGATCCCTACTACATCCAAGTGATGCGTTATAACGCTCCTCCGCGCGACGCTGCCCAGAGCGCCACGCAGTATCCGCAAGACCGGGTACTCCAAGCCCACAGGCGTGACAGCACCTCGACCGAGCGGCGGGCGTATCCGACCGTCACGGCCGCGGCGGCCGTCCTGGCTCCAGACGTCCAGCGTCAGCCGGCGCGCCCGATCCGTGCTGGGGACCGGGCCGGCCGTGACGCTCCGGCGCCGCTTCCTGCCGGGACCGGACCGGCGTCCGGCGCCTGCCAGCCTCCTGCCGGGACCGGACCGGCGCCCGGCCGCCCGCCAGCCTCCTGCCGGGACCGGCCGCCGGGCCGCCTGCCAGCCTCCTGCCGGCGCCCGGCCGCCCGCCCGCCCGCCGCCCATCACTGAACGCCCGCTTGACGTGCAGCCACAGCGGCGCCGCTCCATTCAGCCGCCACCGTGAAAAATTAATGCTGTAAATTGCCCTCAAAGCGCTGAAATCTACTTGCCGGGAATCTAAACCCTCCCGTCGCCCTGCAGCGGCCTGGGGAAAGTGGCGGGCATGGCTGGGCAATGTTTTTCCCCTAGCAGGGCGGACGAGCCAGACGACCAGCGGGAGAGAGATGACAACGGCGCGGCGAGTACACACGTCGGTATTGCATGGTGTTGATTTGAAACGGGATGTCGGGCGTATGGCAGATGATCTTTTCACTTTCCAAAGAAAGGGCTGTTTCTGCTTCAGTCTGCTTTATAGCTCGTCGCAGTTTGTGTTTTCCAACAAACGCAATAGGAATGGTACGATGAGCTGAAGGTGAAAACAGGGCGTAGATAAATGGTACTTGGTGTCATTGTCCGTGAAGAAGGATATCGATGACGCGGATCCATCGTATGCTAGAAGTTCTAGTGGTGTCGAAAAGCGTGACAACGTTCAGAGCCGCCCGACCATTGTCTCAGTCGAATGACGGATTCGTTGATGCAGTAACCAACTGACGGGACTTTCCTTTTCAAGTGCATACTGTTCCATTAATTTGGCATCAATCGATGCTTGAAACGGAGAGTACGACCCGGAAAATACCGCGTCTGATGACACTATTGTTTCCAGATTACGCACAATAGCTTTGAACTTAACTCGGAAACGGTGCTGAACCATTACACCCTTATATACGTAAGAGGCATAAACGATGGAGCGTATAAACTCTATAGGTCTAAGGCTTTTTAATCTTGTTTCCTCGCACGATAGTGTGATGTGCTTTTCACATAGCCATAAGTTGTGTTGTGCTTTTTTCTAGCCATTCACCAACTACGTCTAACACCTTTTATAACTAGGCTTGCATCGAAGGTTCTTGATGGAAATAAGCTCTTCAATTAAATGAGAAATTGGAACAAGTTTGGTGCGTTGCGTTTGAAAGTGAGACTCCTCTGACAGTCCCTGGCGATGGGTGCAACAAGATTTAACAATCACTCCTAGGCAATTGCCATGTCCCTTTGTCAGAACTCGGAAACAATCGGGCTAACATGTCCTATCAAAAGTATGAAAATATCCAGCCATGATACCCTTTGAGCAACGACGCCATGGCCGGATACTGATGGACCACTGAGAAGGCACCTCCCCGGATTTCCTGCTGAAGAGCAAGCCGTACGCGATGACGGCAGGTGCGGCGGCGACCAACTGCCGCACGTCCGGGACAGGCCGTCTCCAGACGTGACAGGGGTCCCGGCAGCTTCTTCCCGCGCTGACGCACGGCCGGTGCTTCTCAGGCGAGGTGGGCAAGGACATGTACATCGTCAACAAGGGTCGGCTGCAGGTGGTCGGCGACGACGGCAAGCAGGTGCTGGCCACGCTCAAGGCCGGCTCCTACTTCGGAGAGATCTCCATCCTCAACATGGGCACTGCCGGTGAGTACGCGCGCGGCACGTCCAACGCGATTTTTCCGATCTTCACTTGGTGCTCATCGGAGGTTCACTGGGCGTTCTCGGGTTTTCACTGGGCGTTCTCGGGTTTTCACTGGACGTTCTCAGGTTTTCACTGGACGTTCTCGGGTTTTCACTGGACGTTCTCGGGTTTTCACTGGGCGTTCTCGGGTTTTCACTGGACGTTCTCAGGTTTTCACCGGACGTTCTCGGGTTTTCACTGGACGTTCTCGGGTTTTCACTGGACTTCCTCAGATGTCGTCTGGATGTTCCGGGCTTTCACTGGGCGCTGTCGGGTGTTGGGATGGTATCGGACGTTCGGACGTTCTTGGAATTCTGGGCGTTCGCTGAGGGTTGAACAGTTCCCGGATGTTCACTGAACATTCTCGGACGTTTGCTGGACGTATTTGGACGTCTGCCGTCGCTACGCAGCAGTTGTTCGGTGACACGCCCTGCTCAGGTGTCGGTATGGCGGTACGCGCAGCTCTGGTGCAGAGTTTTGTTTGTACAGGCAGGGGTGCCTGGCGAGGGGATATGAAGCGGGAGCGAGTCTTAAAAATGCGGTCATGACGTGTGAGCTCGTGTTTACATGTTAAAACCAATGCCTGCTTTGTTGCCACGGGTGCAGAAAGGCCTCCATGCTAACATTAAATGAGCAATCTTCGTGCTTCCAGCTTAAGGACTGGCTTCGGTTGTTCTAACGCCTGCTGATCGAGTGCAGGAGCGATTTCTCCCGGTTAGTTGCATCTGGCAGAGGATACCAGGAAATGTTTTGGTTCAAATGTACCAATCGCCATAGACGCGATGCAGCCATGAACAAGCCGGAAATCGTGACCGTTGTATAATGGGTCACAAAGGCATAGTACCGAATATAATAAATGCTTCCTTCAGACGGCTCCTACGCGTCCTTAAGCTAGGGCACTGAGGCAAGACGACACACGTCTTCTTCCAAGCTTTCATCATCTTGGCTCGCTGGCTTACGCTACTTTAATGCTGATATCGAAATGCGAGGAGGATCCGGCTGTAGATTAGGGCCATATTCCAATATGCCTGGCAGGGCTGGCTTTTACAGCGTATTTTCTTGCCATTAAATGGGTTACTGCTGGGCTTATGGGATTGGATGAGATTCGTGGATAACATTGGATATTCAGGGAAACCTGCAAGTGAATCCGCCGCTGAACAGCGTTACCAGCCGGTTACGCAACTCCCTCCCTGTGCGATATACATTTCCTTGATCTCCAGTCTCCAGTAGCTGCTCGTAAGCGTACTTATCTCCGGCATCCCGGGCTCGGCTCTGTATGACGTGATCAAATTTTTGTTGTGATATTGTTGGCTGCCAAACTGCTATGGGACGCTAAGAAATTGTTGCGCGATACTGAGTGTAAGTCGACTCCCGGTATGCATTTGCGAGAAAACGCGTTGTGACAGCTTGAGTCCTGCCCATCAGCACAGTGACATAGGTCTGGGTTTGCAGCGGCAAAGTGACCTAAGGAGCCGATGCATTCTATGATACCTAGGTGTGAAACGACTTCCATGCCAACCTGCAAACATAAGCCATATACTCCCTACTTCTACCGAGGTGAACATGGAGGGTAAATCAAAATGATTTTGCAGCGTCAGCACGATACGTAAGCTACGAATGAGTCGTGAAAGTTCTACCCCATTTCATAAGAAAAGACTCTAAGTCATCAAAAAATATAGTGTTGCTTTTGTCTTTTACAAGAAGGCAAAACAACCGCCAATTAAAGAGTTGTTGGGTTAGAAACTTCCTCTTTGAACCTTTTTGCATAGGTATTCGTCTTTTTCCAAACGGAACACGCTTTTTAAGTCGAAAATCTTCCTGGGCCTTTGGTGACAAGCGGCGTACGCATCTCGGTCCTCAGTCCCATGTACTATATTCCGGGTTCTACGCCCGCCAGCCGCGCGGGCGGAACGCGTGCGATCGCGTGACAGCTTATGCTGTACCGTCACGCATGACGGTCGGGCGGGACAGACTACATCCATCTGAGAAAGACTTGATGGTGCGATACGCTCCCTCATCGCGCTCATGTAGGTATTTGCATACTCTCGTTCATTTGGGGGATAACTTCATTTCAGCGAGGAGCGCTTTCGTGGTAGGCAGTTACAACCCTCCCCCAACTCTACCCTTAGAAAGTTGGGAGCCTACACCCATCACACTCATCTCTGCTTTGAATAAGAAGCGGACAGGACAAACCAGCGGAACTCCCTGCTTTGGGTCTTGTTTTGGGGGATGATTTCTGCCGTTATGTAGCACTCGCTTGGTCGCCCTCCCGAACTGGTCCAGGAAAGCTATCCTTGTGCCCTCAGTAACACTTGCAAGAACATGGGGCCAAGCCATTCATGGACAGGCCTTTGCACCCAGAACCTTGCCTTATTTCAATTTGAACCCATGCATTAAAATATATACATAAAAAGCCCCGAAAACGCTTTAAACTCGAACCGACAGCACTGCATCATGCTTTCAATGATTCACCACCAATGCACGTCGTTGAGCCTGAACTTCAAGCATGTTGCGGCTTATCCTGAGATTGTGGCGACACTTCTGAATTATTTACACGATGTTCGCGGTCAATGTTTGACCAGCTTGCTACCTCTAGCGCTCTCGTTGCGGAGAATATTCGAGTGTATGAGTCTGAGTGAAAGAGGTCACCTGCACCGCATTGGCAGACTTACGCCCGTTTAACGACACTCGTCCGTTGAAAAATGTCCATGTTTGGTTTATGTCCAAAATGTCCAAAAATGGTTTAATATTATGCTTTGAGGTCTTTAGTTCTGTTTTGGATTGTATTTTAAGTATAAGATGCTCAGAGATGGAACCCAGTTTCGACAAAACAGCTCATGGGATGCTGTGCCAATGTGTCCATCAAGTAAGGGTAGCCCCAAATCATGTTTTCGGATCTGCACTATTCCAAGATCGCTTGTCGACCCTTCTCTGATAAAATGACTCTCTTTGTATTCACTAGAAGCTTCCGCGTTTTGAACATGGTTGGAAAACGATGACATCGCAAATAGGCTATGGTCTTGCATCGCCAGGAAAAAGTATGGAGATAGCCGGATGTACATATATATATATATATATATATATATATATATATATATATATAATTGCCGCCATACATATATTTCCAAGTGTAGCCATCTGTCATTCTTTTTGAGACAGATACAAACCGACCAAACTCTGATCTGAACTTCCTTTTGACAAACAGGTCAAGTTTGCATGAATGTTGTCTGCCGTGCTGCAAGTGTATGCTGAAAATTGAATGGCATTACTCTCAAACCGAATGACAGCATTCAACAACGTACGTTTTATTAGTGGCAAAAGATGTTAGTCATGCATCATAGCTGCATGTTTGCAAATTCCTGCAAACGGCTAATACCCTACCTGACACAAGTCAAAAAGGCCTTGAGCTCATAGCTTTTCAGCTGTATAGCTCTGATGCTCTGATACTAAATATACCTGATCCTCGAAATGCCAGTGGATATTGGTGAAGTGACACCATTGAACAGGTATTACAGATATTGGCAAAGCTTACCATACTGATCTTGTCAGTTTTGTGCAATGTTTTGCCAAATGGGGGAATGGTCGAAGCAACATACTTTGATATCCTCTCAATAGATCGGCCTGATTGTCTTATACAATACAGCATAATGTTATTTTAAGACTAGATGTGATACGTGTTTCCGTCCAAAGTGAACGTTGCATTACTGCGAATTGGGGCACTTCGGATAGCATCTATAAAAGATAAATATAGTCCAGAAGCCCCAAGCTACATCACGAAGAGAAATAACGTCACAATATACTGCCACGAAAAATGCTTTGGTATATACCGGCTTGTCAGTTTGGTGGTAGTGACATCAATCAGTCGTCGCTATTTTTGCTACCAGTACATGATGAGAAGATGCCTAGTGTATTCATTTGTCATAAAAAATTATTGCCTGGATTGACAACGCTCTATTTAAGATTGCTGGCTATGTGGGCAGCCATGAAAACAGAAAAATATGGCTCGATATGGCTTGGAGAAAACCCGAAACTACAAAGTTCTGCAATGGCCGAAAGGGTGGGGCGTTAATCTCTACATGAATCTTGGCGACTTTTGAAATAACTATTGGCTATATATTTAGAGCTGATTTCGTTTGTGCACCTAGTGCGACGCCAGTCGCGACATATTCTTTAATCAAGTAGCTTATGTAGTGTCGTCTAAATGCAACCTTAGGCTTATGCATGATGTTCTTTTCTTCATGGGTCGTACCAAGCTCACCGCGAAGAACTGCAGAATTCAGGAATGAGCGCATATGGTTTTCAAGACATGATAATGCTTGCAACAAAAAGTGGCTTAAATGACATCATAACATACTTTAGTTAATATAATGTTTTTTATAATTCAATAATTTACTTTTAAGGTATATAATATAGTACAATTATTTCAAAAACTTCATATAAATGTAGCTTAACTCACAGCAGACTTCGATTACATCATGACATACAGGGCAGCGCATTCGCGTATTACTGATGGCTGGTCTTAGTCCCACACAGCCCGACGATCTGGAGGCAGATGAACTCCGATCAACGGGGCAATCACATCTAATCCTTATCTGAGCGGGTTAAAGGATCGCAGTTCATATATAGATTGAACTGGTTTTATTTTTTGGTACATGAAACGATAGCTCCATCGAAGTCATTACAACATAACTCGGCCGGGGCACTCCGACGGCCGGTGAAGCCGATTGCGCCGCTCGCATTACGGTCAGCCTCGCGGCATGGTCCGATTCTACTTGACGTTTGAATATTTTCCTATGGTCAGGATTTGTTTTTCGCACACCTCTGCCCACCTAAATACTCAGCTCTTCGTAACGCCGTCATTCCAGCTGACACGTTTCCCTGGATAGCCAATGGGTGAAGTGCGCCCGCCCGTAATATAAATTTGCGGATATAAAACACCAACAACGTGCGGCAGCATATGCTGACGCTGATGTAGACGTCTGCCGAGCGCTCTCAATAACTCTACAGCATGGAACGAGACAATCAAATATGAGTCAAACAACCAGAAACTATGCACATGCATGCCAGCGCCGAGATCATGACCTGTGTACTCACTCCCGCAGGTTTCTATACTAACATTAATCATCAACTGCAATTGGAGTGTGCTGAACTCTGACTCGTGTCAATTTCTGTGCATTGTGTTACCTGGACATTTGACTTCAAGACCACAGTGTAAGTAGACCACAGTAAGTAGTTAAATATAATAATTCACTGAGGCGCAGTATATAATCTATCTTTAAATGGAGTGAGGTCGGATAATAGGCCCCAAGCGGCCGTAGGCAGCGTTAGTTTGGCTGTGCCAGCGTCCACAAACACGCAAAGGACGGAATTACTTTTGGTCATACAACAAAATGAGCTTTGCCGCAACTTCAAGAATACACAAACCTGCGTAAAACGAAAAACTGGTATTCAAAGAGATGAGAACTGATTATGAAAACGAGCGGCTTGCCTGTGGCGACTCACGCGTGCAGTGCTGCAACACCAGCCGGCTGTTTCTCAGTTTGACACGCCATGGTTTTGTCGTTGATTTTTGGCAAAGACAAAACCAATGTAAATGCTTACTGGATAGCGCTGGTTAACCTTTTGGCATACTTAACGTCAATTATTTTCAGCATAAGGGCTCCCAACTGATATGGAATACCTTCTGTTTACAAGGTACAGCTACAACAAAATAAGACAACGCAGTATACAGGAAGTACGCGCCATGCTGCAGCTAGTCACGCATGTGTGAGCACAATCGTGCGCGCCATGCTGTGGCTAGTCACGCATGTGTGAGCGAAATATGTGCGCACCATGATGTAGCTAGTCACTCATTTGTGAGCACAGGGCGTGCGTGCCATACTGTGGCTAGTCACGCATGTGTGAGCACAAGACGTGCGCGCTATGCTGCGGCTAGTCACTCATGTGTGGTGCCGCCAGGCCAGCCGCCGAGCTTCCAGTGGTTTACGGCCTTTTCTGAGCGTCACAGCAGCGCGTCATGTTAGTCACACAGGAAACGTGAGCCTCGCCAGAGAGCTGCAGACGGCCGGTAGATTGTCTCTGCTCTTTTGTGCGTAGTGTTTGTGCGCTGTGGCCAGCACGCATAGATCGAACATGTGGGCGCACACAATGGGCCGGAACACATTAATGACACGCCGCGCCGGGGGGGGGGAGGAGGGGGGGGGGGGCGCCGCCTCCTCCAGGGCTCAGGTTGAGGCGTGTCGATGTTGTAGCAGTGTTCGCTCTCAGCCTGACCTTACGTCCTCCGTCGCAGGCAACCGACGCACGGCGTCCGTGCGGTCGGTGGGCTACAGCGATCTGTTCGTTCTGACCAAGAAGGACATGTGGGATGTGCTCAAGGTAACGCCCTGTTTTGTCGTCACAAGTGATCTTTGCTATTGTGCTGATGGTTTTAGGAAATCGATCGCGAACATTGAAGGCAGTCTTCTGCCCTGGACGGGTTTTCTCGACTGAGAAAGGCTTTCTCCGTGTCGGATACTCAGCCGCCTTAGCGTGTTTAACCCCACTCTGAAATATGACTAACGTCGCCATTTTCTACACGACACTCTCCCCAAGAAGCCATGTCATAAATAGAGCGTAGGCAACCTTTCAGCCCGTCGAAATTATTTGCTCGCAACTGGGTCGGTGGCGGTCGAGGAGCGGCGCCGACCGCCGACCGGTCGACCGCTGGCGCTGACGCCCGGCTGTTGTGGCCGTCGGCCCTCCCTCCCAGGAGTACCCGGCAGCTCGCGTGCGTCTGGAAGCCATCGCTACCAAGCGTCTGGAGAAAAACAAGAAAGGCCCGCTGGACAGAGGTAAGCGGCGGCTGGCGGCCGACGGCGGCGGGAAGCGGTGTGCCGGCGCCGCCGGCGCTCAGGCGTCGCGCCGCCCGCAGAGGCCGCCGGATAATGAGGTCATTTAGCGCCACTGTTTGCCGGCGCCGCCTGGTAATATTCGTCGGACGGCAGTAATGATCCAACCAGTATTGACTCCGGCGACAAAGTAAACACGGGCCGAGCCGCCGCAGCAGCCACTCGCAGCGAGAGCGAGGCGCTACCAGCTGTAACGCTGGGCGGAGGGGCGGCGCCGCGCCACGCCGTGGTAAACACGGCCGGGCGTGCGGCCGCGGCGCTGGCCGAGGCAAACAGGGACGGAAACAGCCAGCCCGACCGCCAGCAGGGACGAGCAACGCCAGCACCACGCCCACCGCTGGGAAGAGGAGTATGCATCACCAGGCAGGGACAGGATCACAAGCAGAAGCAGGCTTAGGGACAGGGATAAGGTTAGGCCCCGCACCGCGCTGAGAGCTAGACATGGCCACCACCATCCCATCTAGAAAACTGGGAAGCGGCGTGGGGACACCGCGCTGAGGAACACCGCACAGCGGACACGCAACAGGGAGCAGGGCGGGCACCACCTCCGCGCGCGGAACCAAGTGCGAGCACGACCAATGTCTCCAGAGAAGGGACCAGCTCTACGTTCGGAACTGGTGCCACCGTACAATACCGCACAAAGATAGGGACAGACATCGCCAGCCACAGAGAGACACCAGTATGGTATCCAATAGTATCCCCACTTGATGCGGTCCCGTCATTCTGCACCGTCGCAGCCCTATTGTGAGTGACCATTATTATCAAGATATATGCGGACAGCCCAACGTGACATTTTTGGGCAGATGCTATGACAAAACTTGCATGAAAAATACCTCCGCAGGGGCAGATCTAGCCACTTAGTTATGAGTGCAACGCAATAAACCCGCTCGCAAATATCGGGGACAAATCTCGATGAACTTTCACTGGGAGGCAAGTCCAATACCCGGGGGAAGACGCTTTCCTCTCCAATAGACTAAAACTTTTGGAAATATGCAAATGTTCCGTTTGTCACATCATCCAGTTGTTTCTCCTGCCGCGCAAGTTATCTGCCCGGCTTTTATCCTTACCACTGATTGAATTACCCCGTTCCCCAGTGACTCGTGTGCATCGCGTTGATTTTCCTGGGCGGGCCAAACGCCACTATCGGGGAGGCATGAAGGCGACTGGGGAGTCATTTGACATCCCAGTTAACATACTTAAGGGTGGTCTACAAACGCCAGGGCCTCAGCGGCTGAAAACGACCTTGTGCAATGCTAATGTACAGTGCTGCCGGAAGAAGCAACAAGCCTAAAATAGCGCAGAAATGTGTGGCTTAGCCAACAGCTCGTCAGTCTAAGGTGCTTATTATAGAATGTGGCCAAAATTGCTAACTTGACCTCAGTATCACCACTGCGCACTATTCATCGACCAGTTTGCACTACCGGCCTATAAGAAAACTATATTGCACTATAAGAAAAGTAGAACTAGCGGTTGAAAGGATGTGGGCGAAAATGTAATGTCTTTCATTTAAGGTGGGCATTTATGTTCAAAAATGGAGAATTGCAAAACACAGTTTTTCCCGTGTGATAATTTTACGTTGGGGAACGTGTTTGTGATTTCCTCTCTATCCCCCCCCCCCCCCTCCCAGCGATTGCGCATGCACAACCGCAGGTTCCGTGAGAACGAGCAGTGGTCGACACAATTCACAAATAGCGGACACCGATGGCGCCATGTTTGACGTCACAGGTCCTTTAGCAGGAACTGTGGTCCAAAAGACCGCCACTGTGGTCTAGGGGAAAGATGCTGGACTCGTAATCCAGCGGCACTGGGTACGAATCCCAGAGCGGGCGCACTGGCCCGACTGAAATGAAAAAGGTGAGCTGGCAACTGGCCAAAAAGGGTCAACCCAGGCCCGTGGCGGCCGTGTCGGTCGCAGCATTGTGCGGCACGCAAAACCCTCCGCATTCCTGTCTGGCGCAAGGGCGGAGGCAAAATTATCCGTTGAGATGGGCGGTGCGACTTGGGTGGTGGGTTCACGGTGCACGCAACAAGCTATGCTTAGCAGGCACTATGAACCCAGTCACCCATGGAAACCATTCGGAATAGATTTGTTTTTTTTAATTAAAAAAAGGAAGCGACATGTCACAAGGGAATTTTTGCCCAATAGCAAGTCCCAGGACAACCCCGGATTGACGCCACGCCTAAGGTGGATCACGCTGCGCGCGACGCTCCAGCACCGCCGGCGAGTCGGTGCCCTTTTGCTGTAGTTTTTGCCCACGCTTAGCGTCTAATTTGGGACGCGAGCGGTCGCTCTTGCTCGCCCTGAGTGGACGGCAAACACGATTGGCGATTGCGCTAACTGGCGCTTGGTCCCCGGTGTCGCTCTCCTGCAACAGAGAATCGCTCGCAGTGATTTCCAGCACGTGTCACGCCCATCATGCGCTAATGTGAGGCGGCCAGGTGAGAGTTTTTGCTCGCAAACTTTCGCACAAGAACCATTACTACCAATCGCACACAGGTGGGATTCGAGCAAATAGCCAGAAGGGACAGGGCGGAGAGCAACACTGCACTCGCCGACCACTGGCCACCACCATCGATACTCGGAATACTACTGACTAATATCGCATCTGGCAGACGACGCACGCGCCTGACCTGACGCATGGGACCCACGACGCCACCCGAGCGAGCGCTTGGACCTCTTCTGCGGTGAATTGCAGCGCTTGCGTCCCTGTTGCAGCCAAGATGCTGCACCCGCTGCCGACGGTGAACGGCATGACCCTGGGCCGGTGCAACTCGACGCCGGGCCTGGTGGAGAGCTCGGGCCGGGTCAGCCTGCAGGAGATGTGGCTCAGCGAGCGCGGCGCGACCCGCAAACACTCGGTCTTCAGCGTCGGCAAGACCTGCGTCAGCCCCGACTCCAGGTCAGTCGTGAGTCACGTGTCGGCACCGATTCCAGAACAGTCGTGAGTCATGTGCCAGCGCCGACCCCAGGTCAGTCGTAAGTCACACGACGGCACCAATTCAAGGACAATCGTGATTCATGAGTTAATCACGACCCCAGGTCAGTCGTGAGTCATGTGTCGGCACCGATTCCAGGACAGTCGTGAGTCATAAGTCAGCCCCGACTCCAGGACAATCGTGAGTCATGAATCGGCCACGACTCCAAGCCAGTCATGAATCGTATGTCGGCACCGACTCCAGGACAGTCGTGAGTCATGTGCCGGCCACGACGTCGGGTCAGTTGCTAACCCTGGGACTTCAGGTCAGCTATTAGTCCTGCTTCAGCGCGACCCCAGGGCAATCGTGCTCTTGCTTATAGAGAATGACTTCAGGCAAACCAGTAGCTCCGACCGCTCAGCGATGATAAGTAGGTGGAGGACCGATCTAATCCATGCAGCTTTCGAAATGTAACAACCGTAATGATTGCATGCATTAAACCCATCGAAATAGTAATGTGTGCGGTGGATCAATGATGTTAGTGAAACACAGATCATAGGCTGTTCCGAAGCCTACTTGATATTGTTACCATGGTATTGGATCTTCAGCTCTTTATTGTCAGTCTTATTAGCTTGAGAAAACATCCTCCCCTTTTATCCTCGTGAGAGTGATATTTGGCAAACAAAACGACTCACTGTCACAAGTTATTCACAGCTAATAAACAAACTTTAAGAAATGCCAAGCAAGATTGGCTCTCCTGACTCGAACGTCTCGCTTCCACCCGACTCGACCTGATCCGACCCGACCCGATGCGACCCGACCCGACCTGGCCCGACCTGACCCGACCCGACCTGAACAGACCCGGTCCTGCCTTGGATGCATGCAAATGTAAAATGCTGAAATTGGTTTTCGATATCATGCTGCCTATGTTTGCAATACTTTGATCTGTCAATTACATTCTTGCAAATCAAATTTTGCTGGCGAGGTACCGAACCTAAAGCACATACTTGAGTGTTTTGACTTGAAAAAGAGCTGTGATGATTTAGAGTTTATCGTGGGATATAACAAAGCCTTTTCATGACGCCTACCCACAAGAACCCACATCTTCCCACAGCGGATAGCGGGTGCCACCCGTCTCTGACCTCAAGCGCCGAACAACATGCGTTATGGCAAAGAGCCAATATCTAAACCCAGTCCGGAATAAACCACGCACTTCCCAAGTCGCCCCCAAGATTCCACGCACTTCCCAAGTCATCCCCAAGATTCCACGCACTTCCCAAGTCGTCCCAGAGATTCTACGCACTTCCCAAGTCGTCCCAGAGATTCTACGTACTTTCCAAATCCTGGCCGTGAACTGAAGAACGCCGTTGACGGTCCATGGCTGGCGACGCCGGTGTGCCGCGGCGCGGTGACCGCAGCAAGCGCCGGCGCCCTTGGTCCGGCCTGGCTGACCGTCAGCCGGCCGACCGCTGCCAGTGGCCACCTGGACCGGGCCGGCGGCCCAGATAATTAGGTCACTCGGCGAGCGTGCCGCCCGGCCGTTCCCCCGGGGATGATAGCCCCGCCCCTTCCCCCCCCCCCCCCCCCCGGCATCCGATTAGCCGCGGGAGGCAACAGCCTCGGGGACAGCGCAGTAAGTGGTCGGATCTAGCAGCGTCGCTCGGGAAACGGATCGACGCTGGAGCTCTGAGGCGAATTAGCCTGCTGCTGTGCGCTTATTGGTCACTTTACAGCGGACGTTACGCTGCTTCAGTTCAAGTGCGTGTTTTATTATTTTTGTACCTGTCTGCAAGGCATATTACGCCCTCGTTAGTTTCGTTTGTCAATGTGTTCAGGCTTTTTCTGAGGTCTGAAGGAAATACAGCATTTAAGGATTCTTCAAAACATGACTGCTGGAATATCCGGGCGCCTTATGATGACACAGCTGCCTTATGATATCCGGGCGTAGTGGTTTAGATGAACACTGATTTTAGCTACGTTACACCTTTTCCATTTTAATGACCAATGTTTAATTCAACGCCCGTTGTAACTTTTTTCTCACAACTTCGCCCTCACCAGTCACAATACTCCCGCACACATAACACGCCTTGAAGTTTTCCGGTTGATTTGATTTCGGCCAACTTTGGCAGCGTGACGTGGTAAAATGTTCCGTCCGCGCGGCACTGCTCATACCCGGGCGCGGGCACGCGCTTTTCCGAATGCTACTGGGGTGCTACCGGTGGCCGACCATCCCCACGGAACGAGGCGAGTTTACCATTGCCGGCGTCCGCACATGGGCGGTCTCTGTTCCGCGCGCTCCGCACGCCGAGGCTACCCAGCCGCGGCGTGCAGCGGCGGCTCCTCCTGGGACGCTCTCTGAACACAGAAACGAATGCAGGCGCAACACAGGCAGCGCCGCGACAGCCGCTCAGAGGGTCTGTCTCTTGCCGCCCAGTGCTCCTGCAGCGCCGCCAGCATTGCAGAGCTATGCGTCGGACCGTGCAACCTGACTGCTGTTTGCGGGGTGCTAGAATATGTTGGGATCGCTCCGGCACGTTAACTGTCGTCCGGAAGCCTTACTTACGCATAAACAATGCAGCACCTGGGACGAGGCTAAAAGCTGTCGCCGGTTCTTCTCTGAATTAACCTCTGAACTGCCCTTAGTGTGCTCGCTGCCTTGTATTAATTGCCAGGCGATTAATTTTACACGTTCTGGTAAACCAATTTTCGTATGCTAGGCCAGATAAATAAAACAAGTAATTCATCATTATGAAAAATAGGCATGTTTATCAGTTGGTCAATTTTGCATATTCTGGAAGAAAAAATTGCAAGATCAGATTACCGAAACAAGTAATTCGTCATTCCCCTGCACGTCGGTTGGTGCTTCTAGAAACAGCTGTCCAAACTATTCGTCGTTGTTCTTGATCGTTTTAATATACCCAAGACGCGGAACCACATCAGCAAAAAAGGATGCTAGGTCACCTTACATATGCCGACTCTAAATATGAAACGCGCTGTTCAATAGCCATGAATTGTTTCTGACCACATTAGTACCGGCGACACCGTGCCATTTCTTTGGAGTGGCAATGTGCAATACGTGTTTTTAGGACTCGAAACAATAAAAATTCGTTGTGTCTAATATGGTAGAATGTGGTTTCTATTTTGGTGTAGGTTCCGCAGCTACACAGCCATGCTGTGCGAGCCACAGAAGTGCACAAAGTGCCATCTGCTTCGGCGGATCTCCTTGGGAATTTTACGCGAGATATAGCCAACTGTCACGCGACACGCTAATATAAGGACTTCTGTGGAATGGCCACAGCTGTTACACGCCACTTGAATATGCCTGATGCGATGTTCGGATCAATGAGATAGAGGAGATCAAAAGTAATGCCAGGCGGCGACAATTGGTGGAACACCTGGGATGTACGGGGCGGATTAAACACACCAAGGAAAATGAGCCAGGTGTGACTATTAATGTTTGGATGATGCGTGACGTTGCATGCTTATCATCAAACGTTTGACCTTTCCGAACTCCATGGTCCGTGCCAGCAGTTAATACTAGTATGCTAATGCAATATCAAATGGCTTTGCACTATGCAGGCATGCTATCTGACAATCTAGTCGTACCGTACGATGTCATGGCACAAGACTTATATCCGAAGCCAAGCGTGTCGTCAGAATTCGATACTAGCGGCTAGCAAATGCTGAGAGGTGCAGGGGCGAGGGTGGGCGAAATTGCGCCTATTGGCAAGATCTTTGATTTGGGAGCCCAGACCAGAATAACAAAAGGACTATTGCTAGTACCGGATGGAGGGGGGGGGGGGGGGAGGAGGGAAGACAACGCAGAATCCCAGGGGGCAACGAGCCACCCTGTCCCAAGGATGCCCCTGTTGGCGATGCCCCAGCCCCAATTGGCATGATAGTTTTGTAGACAGAAGACCGAACGCGTCTTTGTCATTGCAGCGATCGGTAAAAGTAATGTGGGAAAGTAGTCAAACGGCACTTCCCTGCCTCGTGATTATCGCCGCTGTGTACGGTGTGAGTACTTTAGAGTCCCGCAGCCGGTGCAAAACAAAGCAATTGGGATTAGAAAAAGCAAGGTATCTGTACGGAAGACGCACGGCACGGCAAGAGCAGCATGACAAATTATATTTCAGAAGCAACCGTGGTGACTAGCCACTGTCCGTGGCCAGTACGAGCTGTGAATGTGAGGACTGCCCGTGGCAAAAGCATTGACAGGCCCTAAGCGGTGGACTCCAGGGTTATATTTAGTTTCGGTTTCCTAACGAATGCAACGTGTTCGGTTCATTTCGACGATAATGATGATGCAATTGAGCGCCTCATGAGGTGGCTGAACTGCGGTTGTAATGTTGCGTGCACGGACCTTGTTACATTAACTGAGTAAATGCCCTGACAGCCAGTGGCTTATCCCGGGTCGCGACGTACTCCACCCATGGTCATCGTGACAACATCAGCAACTTGGGATCTTACTGAGCTTAAGCAGCTTGTGCATTGACTGTCAATGCAGTGCGATGAGGAAAATGCCGCAACTGTGCAACCTGGACAAGATCATCACCACGAAGTTTGCTGTTGTCTTCGAGCGAAAATTGATTGGATTCAACACCTGCGAACTGATTGGGGAGCCGTTGATGTAAGCTAGATCTGCGGGACAGTGACTGGGGTGACCTCACCGATCGGAGAGCTGCTGATGTAAGCTGGATCTGCGGGACAGTGGCTGGGGTGACCTCACCGATCGGAGAGCTGCTGATGTAAGCGGGATCTGCAGGGCAGTGACTGGGGTGACCTCACCAATCGGAGAGCTGCTGATGTAAGCGGGATCTGCGGGACAGTGACTGGGGTGACCTCATCGATCTGAGAGCTGCTGATGTAAGCGGAATCTGCAGGACAGCGACTGAATTCTGAGGCGTGATGCGCTGCGATGCGACGTTGCTTTGCGTTACTTTCCATTGCATTATGTTGCACGTTGCGGGGCACGCATCGCGAC